GGATCTGAAAATTTGACAACAGTCATGTTCTGGTAAAGTAAGACTAATGAGTTAACACCATTTTTTATTACCTTCGTTCACGGTCTTGCTCAATGTGAATACTCTATCAAATGAAATACAATAAGAATGGAAATCGGTTGCTTAACTTACGATAGGAGACTTGGGGCAGTATTTCTACATCAGAAGGTAATCAGAATAAGAATATAAAAGTGTAGAAGAATTCTGACCTCATGATAATTGAGATAGTCTACCAAATGCTCTTCATTGCAATATTTACATCGACTAATGGAGATTCCAATCAATATTCAGGTGTTATNAGAATTCTGACCTCATGATCATTGAGATAATCCACGAAACGCTCTTCATTACAATATTTACATCGACCAACGCGATTTTGATCGTTTTGATGAGCGAATCTAAAAGATGACAAAAGTCACTTTCTGCTAAAGTAAGACCAACGAATTAACTCCAATGTTTGTTACCTTCGTTCACGGTCCTGCTCAGCACGAGAATTCTGTTCAATGAAAAATAATAAGAGTATAAACCGATTGCTTAACTTACGGTAGGAGACTTGAGGCAGTATTCCTACGTCAGAAGCTAATCAGAATGTGAATATAAAATTGTAGAAGAACTCCAACCTCATGAATGCTGAGAACATCTACCATTTGCTGTTCGTTACAATATTTACATCGACCAACACGAGTCTTGTCATCTTGATATGCAGGTCTGAAAGATGACAGAAATCATGTTCTGTTTAAGTAACACTAACGAATTAACCTCGACTGTTGTTGTCTTCGTTCACGTTCTTGCTCAGTACAAGAATTCTATTAAATAAAAAATAATAAGACTAGAAACCAGTTATTCAACTTACGATGTGTTGTTCAAATAGTCGCCATTCAATCGATTTTTTACAAAATTCACAAGGAATAAGAGCGGCATCAGTGGACTGTTTGTCATGATGTAATCGATCTGGAAATAAAATGAGATTCATAAGAATATGATCAATGTGTGATAACACCTGAATATTGATTGGAATCTCCATTAGTCGATGTTGGATGTCTTTTCCCAATATTGCTTGGATTCCGAAGACAAAATCTCTACGAATACCAAAGACGAACATTTTGGTTTCTTGTGTCAGAGCTGTGCTTTTTTCACGTGCTTACCTGATGCACTTCAATTTCGGCTCGGTCACACTCGTAATTACAAAATGGACATAAGACAGTTCTCCGTATTGCTTCATAAAAATCTCGCAATAGATAATGCAAACAATTCTAAAGCCTACCTGAACTCGACTGTTGGAATGTGGTGCTATCTTGGTTTGGAAGCGTTCTAAGATCAACTGCCATTGTCGTGATATGCTTGTTGTGACCAGAAGCTGATCCTGTTGAAGATTGTGACGAAATATTAGGCTGAGATGCTGATGAAGCAACAGAATTGTGGGCAGTAGAATTAACATCTGTATCGATGGCATTCACATCAGCGCAACTATTTTCATAATGATAAGCAAACATAGCTCGACGAATAAATTTTTTACAATTTGGGCACGGATCTGTTTTGTTACCACACATCAACAAATGATCTCCCATTTCTTTTGTTGATGTAAAGTGTTCGTTGCAGAACGAACATGAAATAAGTCGTCTTCCATCATTAACTTGTGCCTGGAGAAAAATTCAATTATGAAAAAGTAAAAAGAATATGTGTGAATATGAACCTACGTTGTCGTTCATGTTTATTTGTTGTTAGTCTGAATGATTTCTTATCTGAAAAAATATGTAAAATGAACTGGAAAAATATATTGAAGCATAGATCATTCTAATTTCTCCTTTTTTTTCAACAATTTACAAACTAGTGTAATCTTGATTATAAATAAATAACAGGTGAGATACATCTGTTTGTGGTAACTCGTCATTTTTCAAATTGAAATTTTTTAATAAAATAAACGTGCAGGATAAATCTTAGTCAAAGCCAAGAAATGTAATCACTAAAATAAAACTGTAGCATAGTGACCCGTACTAGAATTTGGCGAAACCAATTTTAATCCCGTTCCCAGGACCGAAACTAAAGATTCTGATCAAATAGTCTATTGTAGTAAGTGAACCATATAAATCTGAACATAATTCAAGAGGAATGACTCAACAAAGTGTTGATCGTCGACTAAATAAATGAAAAAAAACGAGTATTGAAGAATTCTTTTAGATGTAATACAAATAAATTCAGCGAATCAAAAGTGCTCTATTACTTGGAACACTTCACTCATAAAACAATTCAATTTAATGGAAACATGTTTGCATCTTATCTTTGTTACTTTCACATAAAACATTGTTCATTCGTTTAAAATCATAATGTACCAACAATAATTTGAAAAATATATTTTTGAAAATTGAATAGATTTGATTCCAAACAATAATCATAAAATTAGAGAAAAAAAACTAACAGACTATTATGAAATTCGATCCATTGATTTCTGTTTGTAATCTAATTGAAAGACTTTGAATATTTTGTACACTTCAATTATTTACTAGAACGATAACAATTTTGTAATTGTTTCAAAGTAAATAGTTTCTATAAATATTATTATGGATTGATGTGTTTGATCAATCATATTGTCTGAATTTAAAATTTAATGAAAAAAAAACTTGTTCCAAACTCAATCAATGAGTGCCCATGCGATGGGGATTCATTTTGCACACCAACTATATAATGAGATAGTTTTAAATTGAGTATTCATTAAAGCAAAAGCTTTACCTGATGATATCTGAGACCTTCGAGCGACCTTTTCAATCGACAAAAGATACATATAATAGCATTAGTAGCAGGCGCTGGTTGTTGACCACTGTGTTTAAATAATAGAAAAAAATTACTAACTTTTCTAACTTTTAGAAAACAAACTAACCGTGTCTTTTCTTGTAGTCGTCTATAGTATTCTTCACGGCAAACTTTCTAATCGATGGAAATAAAAAAAAAATATGAAGTTTAATTCCTAAACTTACCGTATGATTGTCATAAAGGCGCCATGAAATTCCTTGACTGCAATACTCGCAAGGAATAAGTTCATTATCATCAGACTTGTTGAATTGGTTTGATCGAGCTAAAAGTTAAAAATAAAATACCACATCATCGAAAGATCGTGTTTTGGAGTTCTTTTTGCAACATTGTTATCGAACAACGGTACTTTATAGTTTGTGTGCATTGAATATCTACTTGAATGAAGATGTAAGGACAATTATAAAGACCTCTGTTTTATGCTTAAAGATGAAAGAAGTTGTACGAACTTTTAACTCCAAATGTTCTTTACAAATGTTGTATTATGCGAGTTTTAGCAGAATAACAGCTGCAAATCGACATATGAGTGATATATACCTGAATTATGATTGGAGTTCTCATCAATGTAAAGTCGCTGGTTGTCAACAAGACTTAATTGGTAAGGGGAGCACTTTTCCTGCAAACAATTAGATTAGAAAAATTAAACTTCTTGGACAAGCAAAAGCAAGTTTTTACTTTATGCATTTTACTGTCTTTTTTATCGTAGTTTTCGTTACAGAATCGACATTTGATAGTTACCAGTATTCCTTCTACAAGACAATCAGATATGAATAATACAAAGCCACAGAACTTACTAGAGTTTTGCGTGTTCTGATTAGTTTCACTATCTGCCGTCGGTGCATCCGGATTAGCACAATTATTTTCATAATGGTAAGCAAATATAGCTCGTCGAACGAATTGTCTACAATTTGGACATTGATCTGTTTTATTACCACACATCATCAAATGATCTCCCATAGCTTTTGATGACGAAAATTCATCGTTACAGAACGAACAGAAAACTTTGACATCCTTGAAAAGAAGAGTTCAATATCATGACGGATCACGAAAAGTGAATCAAATATTGATTAATATGTGCACAGTTATGTTTGAACTATAAACCTACTTGGTCTGCCATATTTATTTTTGTTGATATGTTTTTTTTAATACTCTATCTAAAGAAGTAAAAATTAATAAGATTTATGTATATAGGTTGTGAGTGTGGATGAAGTAGGGTACTGCAAAGTGGTCCCTGTCCCGGTCCCGGCGGGACCGGGACAGGACCGGGACCAAAATTTTGTTTTTTACCGGGACCGGGACGGGACTGAAATTTCCATGTGGTCCCGTAAATTTTCTTTTAACAGATACTAGGCTAAATTTTTTCTTATTTAGTTTTTTCTATTAGAGATTTTAGAATTGGTTATTTTATCTANCATTCGAGTGTTATAACTGGAAAGTGATTCGCTCATCTTTCTGTCCTACAAGTGATATAAATCTATGTGACAGATATTACGCTTTATTTTTCTATTTACTAATGTTAAAAATTAAGTTTTGGTAAATCGAAAAAAAAATATCGGAGTCGAACTTGTAACTGACTCCGACTCCGAACCCGAAAAATTTTTTTCAGCAAACCCGACTCCGACGGAGTCGGAGTCGGAGTCGGAATCGGGTTTCGGAGTCCTCCGCAGGTTTCTACATCTCTGTAATGTACATATAAACATTCTATCATACTGGAAGAATACACTTACCTTTCGACAGATTCATTAACCATAAATCATCGGTGAAACTTATACTAACTGAAGCTCTGAACATAAGATCAGCATGGCGTAGGATTAATCGCTTCAACTCCCTATGCACCATACTAACTAACCATGCTAAAACAATTCGTCATATGACATGCTAGTCTTAAAGGATCCTGACGGACGACCATTGAGAGCAGATATAGGTCCATATTTAATTTTTTCATGTTAAGTCATTATCAATTATAGTGTATTAATTCGACCGATAATACTGTCGGAATTTATTATTCCGAATAATTAAATTTTGTTGCATGAAAAAAAATTTTCTATTGACAAATGTTTTTTTTTTAATCACAGTTCATTCTTTTCTTTTAAAAATTTCCTGTTGTTTGTTTTTTTTTGAATCTCATATAATCAATCAACCTTTATAAAAACAAAAAACAAAACAAAACAAAAATAATGTTTTGTATGATTATTGATCAACATCCGACAAATCAATACCAGTTGTAGCTGTATCATCTAATTCTAAATCGAGCATATCTTCAAATAAAGATTCATCGACTTCGACCAATTCACCACCTATAACAAAAAATGAATCATTTTGACATTAATCAGTAAATTAGTAACAAAAAAAAAACATACCTTCACCCGATATAAATTTAATATCTGAATCATAAAGTGAACGATCTTTTTCGAATAATTGTCGACCTGTTAATTTTTTTGATTCACTATCATCAATTTTAATTGTTTTTGTTAATTCAGCTCGTTCAGCATCAAATTTAACTTTCCATTTAATAAATGATTCAACAGTAACACATGTACCTTCAAATCGTTTTTGTTCAGCTTCTTCTTCTTCACGTTGTTTTCTTTCAAGATTTTCTTGATGACGAACTTGACGATTTTCAGATTGTATACTCAATTGTTCAGATAGATGACTAGCCAATGTAAATATAACCGGCATACCTAAATTTTCTTCACACTAAAACAAGAAAAAATTTATACTTCATTTATATTAAATGTACGTAAATTTAATTATAAAGCAAAAAATATGAGGGAAAAAAAAAATTTTTTTTTCGCTATCATTAGACGCGACCGCACTGTCGATCGAGAATGCACATTTCTAATTCATACGTACAATTTTATTTATTTCACTTTCAAATGATGATATGTCATCAACATTAGCTGAATCGATAATTGTTATTTCTGGTGATTGTTCAGGATAATTAGCATGAAATTGTACTTCCAGTAGAAGAAAAGCTATAAACAAACAATTGATATAAGAAAATGAAAGAAATGATTGACATACGTCTAAGTTCATCTTCATCATTTGTTGTTGGTTTTATCATGAGTTTGAATTTTGGATAAGGATCCTCTGATAGTACTGTACTAATTTGAAGATATAAAATTATGCAAAAATATAAATAAATTACAAGAATAAAAAAAAACAAACCTGTAATTTCATCAGGATAAATTGAAGTAAGTGCTTCAATTTCTTGTAATTGTTCATCTTTAACCGACATAATTTGCTTGTATTTACTTTTTTCTCAAACTCATTCAAGAATTGAAATCTAAAAATTCATTTTTCACATTATTGATCAAGTTTCACAAAAGTTTATCGGTAATTTAATTCAATTATTAAACTACTTTTACTAATTTCCCTAAGTTTTACTCATGGAATCAAATGACGTTCAAAAATTGAATATGTTTCCTTCTAAATAGATATTTTTACTTCTATACAGAGTTATATAGACGAATGTGAATTGATAAAATTGTGCAGATATGATCTAGAATGAAATGAAAAAAAAAAAAGAATCATTTAAAATTTAATGAACAAGAAATAAATATAGATATAGAACAATAATCATTTCAAGTGTAATAGAAGAAAAAAAATTAGAATGACATTTATTTATTTTGATTCTGATGATTTTTCGTCGGTTGTTGATTTCTCATCTGTTGTTACTTTTTCTTTATTATTGAAGAATTGAAGACGCCGTTGCCGTAGTTCTAAAATTGAAAGATCAATAAGATTTTATTTATTATATCAAATCATAATCTTTTTGTTTTTCGGGAATTAGTTGATCATCTAGATCTTGTTTGTAAATTTATACCAACGATATTCAAATTTCATATTAAAATCGCCAATCGAACTGATATTTTGTCTATAGGTAGACTTCGTGAAGCTTAGACTGCATGTAAAAATTTTAGTCTAAAAGAATATGTTACTCTTAAGATATTTGAATATTGACTGTACTGAACTTTTTTAATGCATTCGAAGATCTACGAAATTTTACTAATGAACAAAACTTTAGGTTGAAATTGTGTAATTCAATTTCTATATCACTTTCTCGGATAAGATGACTGCTCTTAATTTCAAAACCCACATAGACTACTATATATACCAGTGAAAGGATATTATAGCAATTGTGAATAATATGACCAAATATTAACACTTAGCTTATAGAGACTTATGACATACAATATCTGAGAAAGCTGTACGGTTAGTCGCCTTTGCTCTTTGGAATAGTATCAAACAATTTAAAATATATTGAAAGTTAAAAATTACTCAAAATGCTGATTAAAGACCAGACAAAACTCTATTGAAGTAAATTCAAATAAAATCTGATATAGGTTCGTTTGGAAACATGCAGAGTCGTAATATTTAGTCCTATTACTTACAATTGCTATCATATTTCTTAACTAATATATGGTTTCTCATAACATTAGAATTTAATGAAAAAGCAATTTTCTATGTGCTCTACAAGATAGTATAGATGGCTTTTGAAACGAGAGGATGGCTATCTTATCCAACAGAGTCCTTACTTTTCGATAAACTCTATTTATATTCCTCCATAGTTAAGAAATTATACAAAATAGATTAGTATTGTAAGAAAAATGTTTTAATTCAAATGCTTAGCTATTTAGAATACACAAGAAAATTTAATACAATATTTCTTTTTGATTATTCTAACAATTAATTCATGATAACAACTTTGTTTTTCACGAGATCTGTTATCAAATAAATTTATCTTGCCTTCTAAATTCGGTTCTATTGTTGTTGTTGCTGTTGTTGTTGGTAGTGGTGGTGGTGGTGGTGGTGTTCGTAGTACCGATTCAGTAGTTGCATTATCTTTTTGTGTTACTGATGTATCATGAATTAAACTAGCAGCAATAGCTTGATCCAGTAATTTTTGATTAATTACATCTGGATCTTCATGATGATTCAAAAATGTCGGATCATCAATGCCGTGAACATCTCGTAATGATTGAGCAAGAACTTCTTGTAAAGCTCTATCTTGCGCATTATCTAATTCTACACTTGCTTTAATAGCACGTTGAATTTCTCTATCATCAAAAGATGATGATGTTGATCCTGATGTAGTTTTTGTATTTTTATTATTATCTTTATTAATAGCATCAGCTCGAGCAGTTAATGAACGATAATAAACTGGATCAATTGTATTATTTAAAAGTTTTTCATCAGCTGCACATGGTGGTAAATTTCCATGTATAATAAATATTGAATAACCACTTTGTTGTAATTGTGCTAAATATAATGAAAGATATGTATTTGATATTAATTTTGGTACAGTTGATATAGAATTTAAATCAAAATATTGTGTACCAAATCTTCGAATAGTTAACCAATGTTCACGTAAATTACATATATAAGCTTGTATTGATTGAGGATCTGCACGTGCTTGTTGAGCTTTAGGATGTTGACTAGCATAAGGAATTAATTCAATTTCAAATACGTCTAATGCTTTTTGTAATACTTGAATACTGAAAAAACCAGTGTCTAGAAAACAAAAAATAAATTAAAACAAAAAAAAAAACAAAAAACAAACCATCCATATTTTCTGATTCGCCATATCGATGTCCTAATACATGTCTTTCTTGTTCATCAAGTTCTCTAAAGAGTTAATTTATTATAAAAAAAAACAAAACATAAATATATATTTTCATTTCATTACCGAGCAATATCAGCTAATGAAACAGCTGAAAAATATTCACGTTGTAATAAATTATTTAATGCATGTTGAGCACAGAGAGAACCTTCTTGTACTTCATGATAAATACCTGTTAATCTTGTTATTTCATTCATTTTTATATCATATAAAAATATCTAGAAGAATTAAATTGTTCAGAAAAAAAAATCATTAAGGAAAAAATAATTGTTCTTTACAATCTTCTGTACATGAAAAACAGTGTGAAGAAATCATAATACAATGAAATAGCTAAGTGGCTAATCTTATCAAGTCTCGTTTAGTGATCCTTTCTAGGAGTTTCTACAATCTTGAAATACTTTCGTTTCTCTCCAGTCGATTTCAGATCTGAAGCTTTGAATAGAGACATTGCTTAACGTGAATGGATTTTTTTTGTGAATGTCTCAGATAAAGCTATAGTAACATCGTTCATATACATCGACAAATACGATATTCTCATTTTAGGATAAGAGCATATCAAAAGACTTGAGCATGCCATACCGAAAGACAGGGGTATTCTTTCATCCTTTCTTTGTTATGATCAATAATTTACTCATTATACTTTACTTTGTTTATTAACAAGCGATATCTAGAATAATAATATAGAATTACATTCATAGGAAAACAATTGATACACTTCTTTTTTTCATCTATATATTTTTTTTTCAGAAAATAAGACAGAAGAAATGCGTGACAACATCAAAAAATGAACATGATAAAGTGATCTTACGAATAACATCGACGCACAAGAAACTGAGCAGAATGTAAAGAAAAGATCTATTTAATTGAAATGTTGCTTTTCCGTTGGATGTATGTATTTTTTGAAAAACTTAACTTTGATGAGAAAGATATAGATCAATAGCATAAATCATATTATGAAAAAAAAAGTCAAACAAAATGAGTAAGTATATATTTAGATAAATAGATTAAGAACAAAGTTTAGCTTTATCCCAAGAAGGAATATAAGCAAACGAAATGAATCAATGATAAAGTATTCAAAGAGAATAAATAGGAAAAAACGTTTTGTTTTTCTTTTGTCTTTCGTATTTATTTAAATAATAATCAGTAACAATAATTCGATATTCAATATTATTTCTTTCCATCTGAACTACTGCCACCGAAATCAAGATGATCACCATGTGTTGTACTACTACTCATAGGTCCTCCACTAGCACCATGAAGTGGTTCATGATCATCATCAAAACTCATAGCTGATCTTGATGGTGTTATTTTTGATTTAACTGCATTAACAGTTGAACCAAGTGTACTTTCGAATGTTTTGAAATAAGCCGAATCTAAAAATAATAATAATAATAATAATAATAACAATAAAAAATAAACATACTTCGAAGAGAACCAATACCAGATTTAAGTGTTGAATTAACTGATTGTATTGTTGGTGCAATTTTGTCTGAAGCCGCACTTAATGTTTCAGCTGTTTTCTGATATGCCACACTCGATTTTATATCACTAACTGTTTCATTCCAATCTTGTTTAATATCATCAACAATACCAATACCTAATAATGTTTTTAATTCATTTTCACGTTTTAATTTAGCACTAAGTACTTGACGTAATGTTACAATTTCATCTTGAACCTTCATTAATTCTAAAACAAAATTAACCTATATAATATCATCTTTGTAATTCAAATAGTATTACGAAAGAAAAACTCTCTTGTAAATAAAATCTTTATAAAAAGAAAAAAAAAAAGAAGAAGCTATTAACACAATCCTCGTAGAATTAAAATGTAAAACATTATGTAGATTCAATAAAAGATTGCTTTATTCTGTCTATTTTGAGATACATTTCTTCAATATTCTTCTTCAGAAATATAACAATAAAATAGTTATGAAACATTCTGTGTTTGCAGATCTCCTTCTAAACAATAGAACTTCACAATCACTGCAGTCATTTAAAAAGTTTATTATCATAATGATAAGTTCGGACAATTTTGATAGAAGCATTCGCAGATAGTCCAACTTCTTCAAGACTATCATTTATTAACATAAACATTGATGAGTAAAATACCCGCTGATCAACGTCAAAGAGTTAGATCGGTTACTATTGTTTAGCTATAGTGTTCCACTTCAGTAAAACCTATGTCTTTTAGTACAACTGATAGTGTACGCGACCTTGTGTGTAAATGAGGAATGTCATTGAATTAAATAAATTAAATTTTCAAGTATTTGCATAATAAAAATTCTTGTTTGTTAACAGCAGTGAGGTGTAAAGCTCATGTAAGAAATTTTGACAAAAAAATTGGGTTTGTTTTTTTTGACCGGCCAGTCTAATTCAAGTCCTGTTATAATTACTCTCTGACTAACGTCTATAGGAGATTCCAAATGTTGACCTCTATACTTCAACATTCTTTTTAGATTATATTTCACAATATTCTAAACAAACGGAAGAATCCTTATATGCTCTATAGATTGCGTAATGTTCGTATGAAACATTTTTGGAATAAATTAAACTGGATATTGAATTGATTAAAAAACTTCATATGTTTACCTTGACGATAATCTTCTTCTTGTTTAAGACGATCATCTTCAAGTAATACAAATTGTTGTTGTTGTTGTTGTTGATTACCACCTGTAGCTGATGCATTTAATCCAAGATCACTATCAAATGGTTTTGGCATTTTTGTTGGTTGTTGATTATTATCCATATTTCTTTTTTTTTCTTCGCTTTTATTCTAAATAGAATTATCTAAAAAAAACATAATCATTATCAATTTATTATGTTAATTAAACTATATAAAAATATTTATTCGATATAATAATAATTGACAATGAATAATAACATATCTAGAAAAGAGAGAAACAAAAAATGTATATGTATAAATATTTTTTTTTTGAAAGACTTCTAATAAACTTCTTAAGAAAAAAATGAAGATATAGGATAAAATAACTTATTCCATTTAGAATTCTGATCTAAATACATAGATTGACTTTTATGAGAAAAAAAAAACTCTGATTGATGGTAAAGGTCATTTTGTTTCTCTTTTCTTTTTCTTTTTTTTTTGGCTTTGACGACTTTTTTTTTGCGTGTGACTTCTTATTCTTATCAAAACACCGGTTTTTTTTTCTCTACTCGTTCCTCGATGTGAAGAACGAACGAAAAAGTAAATGAATTGAATGACACTATAAATATATACAATATGTAATTCAGTTTCGTGAATAATTTAGAACAAGATTAATGTATACATATATATAGCATTGTTAATTAATCTATTCTTATACGATAGTATCGATTAAATTTTATTTCAAATCAACAGTTTGATCTTTATATTTATTATTCATATGTATAGAGTAAAGGTTATGTTGAAGATAGATGGAATTTTTTTTTTGTTTCTACGCTTCATTGGAGAAAAATGATGATGTAGAAAAAATTAACAAGAAACTATTATTTCGTGAGTTACTTTCTTGTAAAAAATCTTGTATATATCATGTGTCAATAGAATTGCCTTTGACATAATTTTAGTAACTCTTTGACAGATTGTATATCAATATGTAACAGATTTTGGGGTCACAAAGGACACAACTGAGAATAGATGAAATGTTTTATTGTGACCTAGAGATATAACAATAATAAAATAAAGCTGACTTAAGGCATAAAAATCTCTTACTAGAAATAATTGAAAAAAAAATGCTTACATTTCTTTAATAAAAAGTCACTCATTTCATGTTATTCTATTTTCTAGGAAGAAGAAGAATATCCTTATCTTACGGTATTGGATACTACCTAGCAGCTTCATATTTTCCCCTGCAATCACAAAAGTAGGTGTATGTCACAATATAATCAGCATGCTATGGATCATTAGTAGTTACTCAACCATGAGAG